AAATGAAGTCAGACAGAAAAAGCTAAGAAGAATTTGCTCTCACTCATATGTGGAAAATAAAAATAAAACTCAGACATAGACAACAGTATGGTGGTTACCAGAGGGAAGGGGTGTGGGGGTAAGTAAAGGGTAAAGGGGACCAAATATATGGTGAGGGAAGATTATTTGACTTTAGGTGGTGGACACACAATGCAATGTAGCGATCATGTATCAGAGACATGTAAACTTGAAATCTAAATAAGGATTTTAACCAATGTCACCCCAATGAATTTAATTTAAAAAATCTGAACTTATAAACAAAAAGCAGATTGAAAGCATTTCCTAAAATCTACATGCTAAGAACATCATATTTCTTAGTTATTACTTTCATAGAACAATTTAGAATCTGTGGTATCAGCAAATGGGTTGTCCTATCCTATCTAATAAAAGAGAAACACGGTAATTAGCCATACCTCCGCTACCCTTCCCATTGGCTAATCAGGGCGATGTGCAAATAAACGGCCAGCCAAGATGGCGGCCGGAAGCCAGGCAGCTTGAAGCAAACATGAGGCTTGCTTGCTTCAATGATGGAGGACTCCAACGTTCCCTGCCTGCTGCTGCTGGCCTCTGAGCTTGCAGTTTGAAACATTGTTACAAATATAGAATTGGGGTTGTGGCTGGCCTGTAAACCACCCTCAGCCCCTTGCCAAGGCCATCCCCGCCCCCAAGCAGGGACCCCCATCCCAACTGGGGCATGGTCAGACTGCAAACTGCCCCAGACACCTCACCCAGGCCAGCCCTGCCCCCCAGCGCGGACTCCACCCTGATCAGGGGGGTGGCCAGCCTGCAAATCACTCCAGGTCCCTAAACCAGGCTGGCTCCGCACCCAACATAGACCCCCACCCTGAGCAGAAGGTGTGGCCTGCATGAAAACCACCCCAGACCCCTCACCCAGGCTGGCTCTGCCCCCAGCAGGGAACACCCACTCTGATTGGGGGCATGGCCTTCCTGCAAACTCCAGTGGCCCCTTGCCCAGGCCATCCCTACCCCCCCAAGGGACCCCCACTCAGATTGGGGGCAGGGCCAGGTTGCAAACCCCACATCCCCTGCCCCAGGGGCCCTTCCACCCTGCAGGCTTCCCCAACCTGATCCGGGACCCTCTTCAGGGCAGGCCATCCAGCCTCCACCCATGCACCAGGCCTCTATCCTGTATAATCAAAGAGTTATATTGAACCAAATGGCAGAATGACCAGAATGACTGCTGGACCAGTCACTATGAGGTGCACTGAATACCTCTTGTAGTCCCTTCCCCTGGCCGTCAAGCACCAATCACCTGATGGCAAACGGGGTTGGGTGGTAGTGGGGGGCAGGACCGGCTGCGGGAATCTGGGAAAGACGGCCCTGATCGCAGGCCAGGCCTAGTGACTGTACCCGTGAATGAATTTCATGCGCCAGGCCTCTAGTATAAAATAAAACGAAAATAATGTGAGTGATAAAATTCAGAAGCAAAAATAAATAAATAAATAAATACATCAGTCTTCCTTTGGCCAGTGATGTTCAGTAGTTAGAGCATTGTCCTTTGCACCAAAAGCTCTAGGGTTTGGTTCCTAGTCAAGGGCAAGTACCTGGGTTTTAGATTCACTCCCTTCCCCTGGTTGGGGAGCATTTGAGAGGCAGTCAATGGATGTATTTCTCACATAGATGTTTCTCTCTCTCTCTCTCTCCTCTCCCGCTTCCTACCTCCCATCCTTCTACTCTCTCTGAAATGCAATAGAAAATTATCTTCTGGTCAGGATTAAATTTTTCTCTATATAAAAGCCCAACAACCGGAACAACTGGACGACTGACCGGTAGCTATGATGCGCACTGACCCAGACCTTGCAGCTGGGGCCCTGACATCCTCGAATCTAGTTCACCTGTACCTCGGACCCAGACAGGAGGGAGGAGGCAGCCCGATTCCTCATGGAATTGGCCGTGCCTTAACCGTGCCTTGCTTGCTGCTGGCAATAAGGGGGGGCTGGCTGGCCAACTTCCCAAGGTCCCTCCCTTCTGCAAGCCTCACCCCATCGGTCCCAATCACCAAGGGACCCCACCTGAGTACGACTCTGTACACCAGGCCTCTAGTAAACAAACAAACAAATAAATAAATAAACTTCAGAAAAGCAAAACATTGCATTGGTAAAAGAATGAAATGCTATAAAAAATGACAGGATATAAGAGAACACTATCAATTAAAAACTAGATAAACAAAACAGAATTGTAAAGTATTGGTGGCCCTAGCCAATTTGGTTCAGTGGATAGAGCATTGGCCTGCGGACCGAAGGGTCCCGGCCTTGATTCTGGTTAAGGGCACATGCCCAGGTTGCGGGCTCAATCCCCAGTAGGGGTCGTGCAGAAAGCAGCTGATCAATGATTATCTTTTATCATTGATGTTTCTATTTTTCCATTCCTCTCTGAAATCAATAAAAATTTTTAAAAAAGGAGGTTGGTGAACAAAGTCAAGGAAACCTCCAGGAAGCAGTAAAAGACAAAATGGGAAATAAGAGGGGAAAATATTTAGAGATTTGTCCAGGAATATTGGTCTAAGAGTTCCAATGTCTGAGTAATGGGACTGTTAGGAAAAAGAAGGAATAAAGAATGTATAAAAGAAACAAAAATATCCCCTGAAAGTAGATAAGACCTGGAGTCTTGATGGCCACAATTAAATGAAAACGTGCATACAAACACATACCATCAAATTTTAGAATCCCAGGAATAGATAAGCTTCTAAACATTTCCAGAGAAGAAAGGGTGGAGGAAATTATTCAAATTGCAAATATACAGTGTATCATACATTGCCAATATATTTAAGAGCAACACTATAATGAGAAAACAGTAGAAATGTCTTTAGAACTGCAAAAATTAATTTCAACCTAGAATTCTCTGCTTTGTTAAGTAGGAGGTATTTCAGAGGGGCTAGATCTTCAAACAATTTCTGCCCATGTATCCTTTCCCAGGAAAAAGTGCTTCAGTGAAACAAAGGAGAATAACAATACGGAGGAAAACATAAACACGGGACAAAGATTTTCAACCAGTGTACCACCCAGCACACTGGTGTGCGGCAAGAATATTTACAAAATGCAATACCTGACTATTTGGGCAGGGGCACTGACCTTTTCCCTTACATTGTCAAATAACAAAATGACAACAACCAACACCACAATAGATGCCAAGAGTGAATGAATCACAATTATACTTTTATTTTTAGATTGGTAAGACACATATTTGTTTGGTGTGTCACAGAATTTTAGTCATTAGTTTATGCATGCCATGAGATGAAAAAGGTTGAAAATCGCTGATATAAGAAATCGGGGATCCAACATAAGAGAGCAGTATGTGAAATCCCAGATGACTTTAAAGAAATATGCTTACAAGCAGACACAGAGCAGGCCTTCAGAGAACAAGTGCATAGTAGAGGAGGATAACAAAAGGCTAGGGAGATGGCTTCCAATGACAAATGGAACAAATGTGGTCAGTACGTGGAAAATATTTTTGACAGGCCTGTGACAAATGTCACTGCATGTTCGGGAAAAAAATAGAAAAGAAGAAGTGAATACACTAAAAAAATTAATTCCATTACATAAAAATGAAAACTTACTAGGTATTATGTTAATGTAGCATAAATGTAGAGTTTTTGCCAACAGTCATTTTTCTCTGCCAAGTTACTAGATTGTTAGATATAAAGCAGTTATTTCTGAAATCAGAGAGACCAGCCTACCTGCTGCCTTTGACTATGTGAGATCATGTTGATGAGAAAGAGGGGTTTGGATTATTCTGAAGAAGTGTAGCAGTGCTCAAATTTCAGTAATACAGGGGGTCCCAAAAATGAATACACATTTTAACAGATGATAACTCAATTTTCACTCCTTTTCAGGTTTAATTGATTCAAAATAATAGGTAAAGTCAGACTATGCTTTGAATAAAGAAAACTTATTCTAAACTCTGACTAGGACTAGACTTTTTTTAAATGGGGAGATATATAACCGGCAATAGGTGACAAATTGAGAGCACACAAATATCGACTAAAATATTAATTCTTGACATTTGCAATTCCACTGCTTAGTTTTGTTAGCAGTGCCTGGACCAGAATGGTCACCAGTTTGAAAAGAGGTATTCACAAAATTATTCACTTCTGAAGATTCTTTCAAATATTGAAAATGAACTATCCTATATAATAAAAGCCTAATGTGCAAAATGACCAAAGGTGGAATGACTGGTCGCTATGATGTGCACTGACCAGCGGGAGGCAGGTGCTCAATGCAGGAGCTGCCCCCTGGTGGTCAGTGCTCTCCCACAATGGGAGTGCCGCTCAGCCTCTCCAACAGCAGGCCTATCCCCACAGGCCACACCCCCCACCAGGGCCTGAATCACAGGCACAGGCCTCAAGTAAGTTAATAAACACCAACATAATCATGCAGAGTGCATATACATTTTTTGATTAAAAGAATGAAGGGTATACAAGAAAAAGGCACAGCCAGAGAACTAGAGGGCTCAATGGTAACAAATATTTGCATAGTCATGATAACAGAAACACTGATTCAGATTTATTAGAAACCTTGATACATGTTGGGAGAACTGAAGGAGGGAAATAAGACCACACCGGAGGGAGAAAGCTAAGCTTGCAGCTGCTAAAACAATAAGTCAATAGATAACACAAAAATTGCCTTAGCTATTATATGGTTGTTACTTTTGTTAAAAAAAAATTAAAAGTTAAGGCACAAAATTAAGGCAGATCTTTATATCACAACCATGTTACTGACATTTAACTTAAAGGTCAGAACCCCTTAAAAATGACCATTACTAAGCCAAAACTTTCCTGAATATGTACACTTGTTAATTAAGGTAACAGAAGTGATTAAGAAAATCTTCCAAAACAGGTTCATGCTAATGATACTGTACTCATAATAGATTGCTAACAATTATGGCAGACAATTTTTAATTCAAATTATTAATTTCTTACATAACTTCGAGTATGTACTTACTTGGTAGAAATAGTTGTTCTTCCTCTTTTCTCCCACTAAGAATACAAAGAATGAACTGATCAATACTGATACAAATGCCACAGAAAAACAGAAGTTACTGATTACCTGAAAGATTACTAATATACAAAACTAGAGGCCCAGTGAAGGAATTCGTGCACAGGTGGAGTCTGTCTGGCCAGGCCCCAATCAGGACAGATTTGGCGGGCCTGTTGAGAGGACGAAATGGCAGAAGGTTGGCAGGCCAGCCTGCCCTGACTGGGGCCTGATTAGGACCAAGCTGGCTGCGGGGAGGGGCCATGGGTGATTGGCCAGAAGGCCCCACCCCCAATTGGGGTGGGGGAGGACAATTGAGGGCGGGGCCAGCTGTGGGGAGGGGCTGGATGTGTGGGGGGCGGTGATCAGGGACAGAGCTGGCTGTGGGGAGGCACCACTGGCCATCAGGGTGGTGGTGGGTGATCAGGAGTGGGCTGACAGGGGATTAGAGCTGCAGGAGGTTGGCTGGCCAGCCCAGTGCCCTATTGGGGAGGGGGAGCAATCAGGGCAGGACCATCCTGAGGGAGGAGCTGCAGGCCACTGGGAGTGGTATGGGCCCAGCAGGGCCGGTGTGGGCCTGGGGTAGGGGCTGCAGGAGGTTGGCCAGCCAGCCCCCCCACAATCTGGTCAGTTCACTGGCCATAGTGGGCATCAAAACGACTGGCCTGATCCCACCCGTGATGGTGTTCTAGTCGCTGGCTTTTTATATATATAGATAAGACCAAATTTTATTCCATTTCTTTTATAACTTCCAACAAAATTTAAAATTTAAAGCACCTGGCAAGATGAGTCCCATAAGCAGTATCTTAAAACTAAGTTTTACACTTTTGACCTAATGGATATTCTGTTTTAGGTACAAATAAAAGTCTCTCATGTCCAGAAGGAAAGGGCAAAGGGCAAAGCCAGGGGAGAAACTTGGCTAATAAAAAAGCTTATCTGTTGTGCCTCTGAGCCACTACTCAGTCGTAGTTTCCAATTCTACACGGATACCCTCTGTACTTGACCCACCAGGATCTAACAGTTGAGGGCTCTAAGAACCAGTTTCTGGCCAGGCACCTGCAAGCATCCTGAACCACTTAGGTAACCACCTAGAATATCTTACTAAGAAATGAAATGCATCTCTACTCAACTGCAAAGTAACCTATCCAATTTAAACTTTAAAATAATGCGGCTAACCTAAGTAACAAGTGTACAACACACAAAATCGTTTTGCTCTAATAAAGATCTGAAGAAAAATAAAAGCTCCAAAGAGGGTCTTGGGCTGAACTCTGTTTCCCACTCTGCCTCCTTTAACGTGGGAGGGGCATCATAGGCACACATTCCTTAGGACTGAGGAGAGGGGCATGGGATAGCACTTCCTTTACTCTCTCACCCTCTCTCTACAGGTGAGCAGCCCCTGGCTCTGGAAGAAACTGAGAAATGCAGCAATCCTAAGCAAAATGATCAGCTCCAGACAGTCATGCACACATGCCATGAAAACGCATGTTAAAACCCCCACTTTGTATTGAGCTGCATGGATTCAAATAAAATGGACCCTTCCCTGCCTGTACTTCTGCTGTCACAACCAACTGAGACTAGATCCTCGTGCCTTTTTAAGCAAGTAAACTCGATTGAACATAACATTAAGGAAATAAGCAGGCAAGCAGAAGCATTAAAGTCCTACAGTTCTGGTTCTTATCCTAAAACAAACAGGACACAGGAAACTGACATAGTTGCACGTGCTCCTGCTAGGCTTCTGGGAACCCCATAGGGCTCTGTTCCTCTGAGGTACTCTGGCAGCATTACATTGGGGAGAGTTTGAATAGCTTCAAATTCTAATGCGGGACAGGATTCTTTGCTTGAACACTATGTAAGATCACAAATTCAATCCTCATATGTAAACAACTGAAATGTTTTTTATTTGTTCAAACAAAAACCTGTGACCTAAATCCTATCTTGACTTACCGATCATTTGACGTTTCTTCCGGAAAATGGTGCCAGCCCCAGGATGGTCAGAAGGGATTAAACCTGAAGGAAGAAGAGAAAAGGCATACAATTTTGTTGAGTAGAAAAATTGGTAATTTAAAAAATAGCTACACATCAACTTATATTACTTCCTGTTGGGAAGACTTTTTTAAAAATATATTTTATTGATTTTTTACAGAGAGTAAGGGAGAGGGAAAGAGAGTTAGAAACATTGATGAGAGAGAAACATCGACCAGCTGCCTCCTGCACATCTCCTACTGGGGATGTGCCCGCAGGCCGACACTCTATCCATCGAGGGAAACAGGTTAGGGCATGGGAAGACGTTTTAAGTAATGGTAATCAGCCAATTTTAGTAAAGGCAACAATATAAAAATTCTACTCAGAAAATTCAAAATTGCAGAATCTTGCTATAAATTCTACTCAGAAAATTCAAAATTGCAGAATCTTGCTATACATGTGCAGTAAAACCAGGCTATGTCTTAGACTTTTTTTTTAACTTGCACCTAAACAATGTTTGGATTATTTATGTGTTTCCCCATTTCAAATTATCAATTAGAAATACAGTCACTATCTTTCACACTTATATTAACAGCACATTTCAAATTAAACTGTGGCTAATTACTGTCAGATACCTGCTAATGTATCAAATATGTCCAAATCATGAGCTATATTTGGCAAATGTTCTTTACCATTTGGCTAATTCTAACTCCATTCACAAAATGAACTTATTTAGTTAGCTGTGGCTTACTTGGGGCTATTCATCGTGGCACATTTAAAAGGATAGTATAAAAGCTCAATGCTTTAATCTACGGGGAATCTTTCACGACAGTGACTTTTTAAACTTTCATCAAAGTGATTTTTTTCAATCTTTATTGTTCAAAGTATTACAGATGTCCCCTATTTTCCACAATTGTCCCCTTCTAGCCCACCCCCAGGCCGTCACCCCCCTATTGTCTGTGTCCATGGGTTACGCATATATGTGAAAGTTTTCACTTGCATTCTTTGCTTGATCTAGTCCCACCCACCCACCCACTCCAGCCTTCCCACTGAAATTCATCAGCTGTTTCATATTTCTATGTCTCTGGATCTATTTTGTTCATCAGTTTGTAGTTGTTGCTGTTTTAGACATAGATGGAGTGTAATTGTTGTTTCTGAGTTGTATACAATAATTTCAAATAGAAATAATCAAGACTGGAGCAAGTTAAATGGCTCACTTTGTGGAGAGTTTATAACATATAGGCTGCATTCTAAGGAGACCTGTATGCATCAACAAATTGAATTTGGCACATCTATCACCAGCATGTCAGCCACTCCTGTTCAGCAGCTGGTTACACATCCGTTCACATCTCTAAGTCTCAGTTTCTTCATCAGCAATAGAAGAATACACACGGGACTTGTTTGCAGTTAGAAGGACCAAATGGGCTATACATGGGAGTGAGCTGTAAATCTTAAATATATAAAGGTCCTATTTTGGTCTCTCATCCAACACTACCCATCTACTAACTGGTTTATAAATCCACTCAGACAGAGGCTTACCTTATAGCACCAAACAGAGTGAACAGAAAATTTCACAGGTTCTCACTTGTTTTGTGTTTAAAGGTACAATTCATTAATTCACGTAAGTTGCTCATTTTTTCATACTATTTTAATATACTGAACAGGGAGTACTTTTCAGTTATAAAGACATAGCGACCACCCAGGTGAACCCCTAGGCTTAATTATTCTAACTTTTAAAGAAATTAAAAGCTCAACTAGAGTTTAAATAGAATAAGAGCTATGATGTGTTTTCTCTATGAAATAATCTCTACAATTTAAATGAAAAAATAAAGGGCCAAAGAGGCTTTAACATCTTTGTAAATGTATGTTTCCTACTTCACAAATCACAGTCTTCATTAGCTATATTTGTTACTCAGAATTATTTTAAACCAAGTACCATATTTCCACTCTTCTCCCCCTCTCCTCCCACTTCTCCACTCCCCAAACCCCTCTTCAGGCATCTGGTCTTCAGAATTTTGACCTCAACATTCTTACAGTTAAACAGGAAGCTACTGGCAGTACGGGAGACGATGAGGACAAACATTCTTGCGCATAATTTTACATCTTAACTGCCAAGACTTTATGTTACAAACTAAAGTCTACATATGTGTGTTCTCTTTAGAAACTTTTGACCAACACTCTTGTGAACCATCCCCGCTCCTTTAGGACAAACAATGTGACAGGGAAGTCTGTTAGGTCACTGAAGGAAGACTGAGGAAATTTTGTGTCAACGTGGACATATCAAAGTAATCAGAACTCCCTGGGTTCTGCTATAAGTAAAAAAACAAACAAGCAACTATTCTCTGTAGGACTGGCAGTAACATTTCACATGATTCGAGAAATTTTGAGTTCCCTCTCCCACCATTTCCTTCTGTGTTCAAATTATAAGTTGGAAGGAAGAAATAGCTTCTATCCAGGCAACTGAAAACAGCCAATGTAATAACACTATATAGGTTCTATGTCGGTTATCGATTTCGAGTTTACCTAACAACCCCTAAAATCTTTGCAGCAGAACTGTTCAGAGTATCAACTGTCTTAACAGGTGGAAACAAGGGTATCACTGGGTCCTACCTGTTTCCTTCACTAAGAACCAAAAGGCTAGGTAAGGACAGGGAGATGGGATGGAACCTTGGAAGTTGGGATGTTAAAGTTTTCACTGAGAAAAAGGAGAGAATATACCCAAAATTATTCCTGGAGTCCCAGGAGACACTACAGAGAGCCAGGAACAGGATGGGCCAACTGGAGTGTCTCAGGCTGAATGGGGATGGAAGAAAGAACTGGGTAGTTGGGTACTGAACAGGGAAAGAAACTGGCCAGACATGACGGGAGAAAAATAAAGGTTCGGGATGCCTGAAAGAAGGCCAGGAGGAGTCTGAGGTGGTGCCCATCTAGGGGGTCCTGGGGTCAGCAGAGCCCAGAGGTGTGACTGAGATCAGCGATCCCCTGCCACTCCTTACCTTTGGGCGTTTGCAGGTTACTGAGGCGCAGGAGAGGGTGGCATTTGCAGAACAGGAGACCCAAGTCCTCATGTGCCCGGGCAGCTTGAGTCACCTCACAGGCATCAGACTCAGGGTGCGGATTCACCCACTCCAAGCTCTGGCCCACCTTGGGGCTGGCATTGGGCTTCAGGCAGCAGGTGAGTTTGTTCCCCATGAGGAACCTCTACTCGCGCTGCTGTCAATGCCTTCACTCAACAGTCCCCCTAACCACCCCCCGCCCCGCCCAATCCCCAAAGGGCAAACCCAGGGGCCCCCGCCGCCCCCGCCCAGCTGTCAGCTGCTGCTGCCTCCACAGATGTGACTAGTCTGTGAGGACAGCCAGCAGTCTCACGTATTTAAAAGGTGTGCTGATCAGGCAACTGCTGAGAATCACAACCACTGCAAGAAGAGAGCACAGCCGAAGCTCCACCGCCTGCCACAGCTGCTTCTCAACTGAAGGCAGGGCTCCTGGCCGGCCCCAGCCAACCAGAACACATTCTGTGGTCACCTGGTTACGAGGGACCAATCACGGCAGCGTTCCCTCCACGTGCCCACCTGGCAGGGAAGGCAGTGGGTCAGAATGCTGGTCCTCCCTGCCCTGCAGGCCCTCTATCCCCTTTCCCAGCGCACACATGTGGCCCAGCCTCGGGCTCCAAACAGCATTTCCTAAACACACTCAAATGTTGTCAGGAGGGCAGGAAACCTACAAATGCCCTTGGCGATGGCAAAGAAGTGAATACATTTTTCAGTTACTGTACACGTTTTGGAGAAAAACAGAAAAAAATCAAGAAGAAAAAGACGTGTACAGTAATTGCAAAATGTACAGACTTTTACAAACCCTTCAATCAAATAGTTGCCCCCCCAAAGGACCAGAGGGAGTGTTTTCCTTTATTAAAAGAACAGGAGAGAAAGGTCACCTCAAAAAATCAGGGAAACAGAGATCATTAATATTCAACAGTATAAGAGATATGTCTGGTGACAAGAATGAGCAAGATATTAACATGTGGAGACCACAGTGGAATGGGAAATGACCTGATGAACTTCAGTTTCTTTTAAATAGCATCTAGTTACATCCTTAGAACCTGGATGTAACTGGATGCTATTAATAATATTATTGTCTGAAGTCCTAGGAATGTCATTAGATAGCATTTTGGATGGCTCTTGGAAGCTTGAGACAACACTGAAGATTATGTTGTAAACAGTGCCTGCACTTAACGACAGAGACGCACACAACAAAACTCAGACTTCAATCCCCAGACATTTAAGGTTTTCCCTCCAGGCCCCAGAAACCTAAGAACAGGTGCTTTCTGTGGACTGCACCCCTCCTCCCGCCCTCCCTTCCCAGGATCAGCAAGGAGAAAGCCTGTGACAGAGGGCATAAGCCTGTCCCTACAGCACCTGGAGCCCACTCTCCCCACCCCCTTCTACTTTTCTGACAGCGCCCCAAACACTGCTGCCAGATCCCAGGGAGCCAGGGCCTGGCGCTCAGGGTAAGGCGTCCAGTTGCCATAGTGTCGGGGGCTTCTCCAGGACAGGCAGGCTCCATGGATGCAGGTGGATGCAGACCTGAGAAGGAAGGAGCTGCCCGGCCCGCCTTCCATCTCCGCACCTCCACCTGGGAGAGGGGGTGTCCATGGAATTGCTTGTGGGCTGGAGAAAGGGGCTCATCACTGCCACATCCGCATCTGCCAGACTCTTCCCATTGTGCATAGGACCCCGCAGAGCCTAGCCCAGCAGCAAAGCGCCCAGCCAGGAGTCAGCAGCTTGGACCGTGCCACCTCCCAGAGAACATGCCCGGCCTCCAGGGCCAGGGTCTGCAGCCTTCCCTGAATTCTGAATCCACAAGGACCAGATGCCCTGAGCCTAGGACCCCCTTCCCCAGGGAGGACTCAGTGTAACCTGCGCTGGTCTTCCCACAGGACAAGGCAGACTGGGCAGGGGCACAGCACCCCAGGAAGGCAGGCAAGTGCTGGCTGGGGGACTGGGCAGCCTCGGGGAGCCTGGCTGGCAGGTGGGGACACAGCTGTGCCTGAGCTGGAAGGCAGGTGAGTGCACACCCGGTGGGCAGGCCCAGCCTGACAGGGCCCCTGTGCTCTCTGGAGGCTGCACCTGACCATCCCATCTCCTCAGTAAGAACCACGCTCCCATTTCCCGCGGACGGGACTGGAAATCTCCACATGAGACCTGGACGTCCTGGTCCTCCCTCGATGTGGGGTTTGACGAGCTTTCCGGCTGACTTTGGCAGACATAACTCTCAAAATTCGAGTTTTCTGGACGCGAATCTTTAGCCAGGAAAATTTGCTGCACGCTGCATGGCATTTCCGCTGTTTCTCTTCCCTAACCCCTGACCTGTCCACAGGTTGGCTCAAGCCCGCCACACTGGGCAAGCCTTTCCGACCCTCGCCGCCAGCCCCCAGAACGGGCCCAGAGCCTGGACTGCAGTGCTCAGTGTCCACTCCGCCCTGGGAGTTCCCCAGGCTCCCCAGCTTTTTCTACTGTCTCTGGTATGTTGTCCTGAAAGGGGTCCTGTGGAAGCGACCTCTGTTCTGCTCTAGATGCCTGGTGGTGTGGGGAAGCCACATGCGCTCTTGATGTCCCGGACACACGCTGTCCCCGCTGGTGGCACGCACTTTGATGCTGGGAACACGCGCTCTGATGCACAGGGCACGCGTTTTGACGCACAGAGCATGTGGTCTGATGCCCTGGGCACTTGCTCTGGACCCCCTGGCAGGAGCTGCGGGAGTGGAGCGCTTGGATCAGGGAGGCCTCTGCACGTGGTGACACCCTGTTGTCCCTGTGCTCCGTTTATTCCAGGCAGAAGGCTCCTGGGGGTGGCTATGACCACCCTGCCCTGCGGGGACCTGCAGGTAAGCAGAGCCCCAGGGGAGCTACCACCACCAGTGTGGGTGAAAGGACGAAGGTCTCACTCCAGGCGTCCCTGTGGTCTCTTTCTCCCATTTGTCAGAAGCCATGGCTCGGTTGCCCCGCAGGAGTGAAGCTGTCTGTCCACAGGAGTGATGTCTGTGCGTGTCGGGTGTGCTGGGGAGGGGAGGCTGGTCCTGCACCACTTGTCTTGGGTGCTGAGGTGGACCTGCTACCAAGCCTGGGGGAGGCCATAGGACCTGCACCTGCGGGTGCACCAGCTTGGTGGACCTGGGCAAGCAGGGCACCTGGACAGGGGTGTGCCCTGTTCTCTCAGAGGCTGCCTGTCCTTTCCAGCCCCCTTTGTGCAGTCCTGTTCCCTGGAGGAAACTGGATTCCTGTTGCAGAGGATGAGGTGGGGGGTAGGAGAGTGGGGGTGGTCGCTCAGGCCTCCCTTCTGCTCCAGCTTCTCCCTCCTGCCCCAGCTTCTCCCTCCTGCCCCAGCTTCTCCCACCTGCCCCAGCTTCTCCCACCTGCCATAGCTTCTCCCTCCTTCCCACAGACCCACCTCTCAGCCTGTTCCCACCTTCACAGTGCCTCCAGAGGCCCACACATATGCACAGTAGGTCTGTAACTGGGTTAGACCTGCCACCCAGAAACGTCAAGATAGGTTAACATTAGAACATCCTCACTGCTGGGATAGGCACTGCCCACAACCTGCGTATGGCTATTTGCCCTCCTCTTTATCCTGCTGCACTGGGAACTGCAGTGTCACACCCACCCGGGTCCTCACAGGGCCCAGGGTATCACTGTGCTCACTGAGCATGCCTTCACCACACCTGGCCTGGGCCCAGTCAGGCTCCTTACCTGCATGGCCGTATCCCCTCTTCCCATCCTGTGTCTGTTTTGAGAAGGTGATTACTTCATTCAAGAGGTCCTTTGAAATAATGAGACTGCTTAGTCATTCCCATGGAAGAGCAGAGCATCTGGCCACCTCACAATCCTTGGTGGGCCAGAGACGGGGTAAATCACAGAACCCTAAATACAGCTGCCAGCGATGCAAAATGATTGCCTTGCTGGTGCATTCGGAGAGCAGGGTCTACAGCGACAGTCCTTCTCTGAATCTCATACTTGTTAAAAAGGATAAAGATTCAGATGACACAATTCAGAAACCATGAACATCCCGGATAAATCCTCCACTGCACGCTGTTTCTATGGTCACTTCTTTGGGGAAGACCCTAACTTTAACAGCTGCCCAACTTCTCTTCCCGACCTGGAAAAGTCACATGTTCACCTGCCAGAAATGGGAAGCACTTGGGAGCCATCAAACGTATTGAAAGCATTGTAGTTCCTGCTTTTCCCCTGCTGGCTGTGTGACCACAGAGGAGTACCCAACCTTTCTGAGATGGTTTCTTCCTGCCTACACCAAGCGATTAAACAAAACTTTGTCCTGCCAGTGTCGCTCAGTGGTTGAGCATAGTCCCAGGAACCAGAAGGTTGTCTGTTTGATTCCGGTTGAGGCACATGCCTCGGTTGTGGACACAATCCCCAGTGTGGGGCATGTAGGAGGCAGCTGACCAGTGATGTTCCTCTCTCTTCAATGTTTCTACCTCTCTCCCCTCCTCTCTCTTTAATAATCAAGAAAAACAAAACAAAAACTTATTCCTGGAATCCTGCACATCCCTTTGCTATTGCCAATTGTGAACAACCAGCATGTCTCTGGCACTCAGGTTTCAAATCTCAAAGATAGACATGCACAGGATGCTCCAAGGTCAGGGGTCAAAAAGATTCACATAAAACAGCCTGCAGTGAAGGAGCCATCTTCCTGTCATCATGAAAGGTGGGCCATGTTTCTGGAAATTGACTGTGTTAGACTTGGGAAATTATAATCTACTTAGAATCTTTTGCACATCTTGCTTCTGAGATGTTGTGGCTAGTTTCACAATTCTGTTTCCTCTATCCTCCATACTCTCAGACATACACATCTGAGAGAATATATATATGACACATACATGCCTTACATTTTCCCACAAAATGCAGCTCAAACCCCTGTGGAAAATCACCAGGCATTAGTGCACAGGTTCCAGATAGAAGGCATTTCCTATAAAATGAAGTTGGGGATGGAATTTATTATATTAACTAAACCAATTTCCATGCGATGACGGTGAAAATCCTGTCTGGCAGCCTGGCTGTCTTTGTGGTGGCAGCATTCCTTCACCAGGCACATGGTGGCTGCCCCTGCAAGAGCACTCCCAATTAAGAAGGTGCAGTTACATGGCAGTGTCACTGTGCTTTGTGCTGCCCGCTGTGGAA